ATCTAGGCTGGCTAGGCTTAAATACCCCTGCTTGGTGAAATCACAAGAGAGATCTCATCCAAGCTTCATACAGTAAACTCCATAGCCAAAGCCTTGCTAAAGCTCAAACCTATCTTAAAGTAAAGTACAAGCTGGACTTGTGTGTTTGTGTATTTGTATTGTTGTATTGAATGTTTGTATGTGGATGAGAATATTGTATAAAGATATTTGATCCAGAATAAGAACTTGGTTCTTTTATTCTTGACTCAGTCCTGTAATAAAAAGGACAACACTGCAAAGATCTCACCCTTGAGAATAAGAACAAAATCATATGGGAAAAGAGACTCTGCTATAATTGCCTCAGAGACAACCATAGCATACAAGAATGCCCAAATAAAAGAAGGTGTATCATGTGTAATGGTAAACATCATACTTCCATCTGTCCCCAAACGGGGGGATTGTTTACTAAGACTGATAATGTTCAGTCAAATTCCAAACCAGAATCTCCGGTTGAAGATAACTTGTTAAAGGAGTTGGACAAACTCAGGCAAAAATTCAGTGAGAGAGATCTTAAACCCTCCATTAAAAATATTAAAACTGATCCTCAAAATGACTCTCAACCTAAATGACATAAAACCGTGAGAGTGAACGTATCCACTAATCCCTTGTCAAACTCATTCCTGGAAACTGTTGAAGTAAAAGTAATACCCTCTGGACAAAAAGCTTTTGCTCTACTCGATACTGGAGCACAAACTACCCTTATAACGGAGGAATGTGTTAAAAGACTTGGGCTATCTCCCCAGCAACTGACTGCAACTATATAATTCAAGGAGTCAACGAAATGGGAGAATGTTTAGAAACAAATAAAGTTGTTCACCTCACCCTCGGAAATAGAAGTGGAAAGGGTTTTCCCCTAGCTACCTATGCCTTGGTTGTGCCCATAGACCATGCCTGGTCAGGTTCCAACCCAGAAATTCTTACCTGGATGAAAACCCCATCTCAAAAGGCTCTACTAGCTGACCCCTGGATTACTGAAACTGAAGGAATTTGGTGGGATATCATTATTGGGGAATTGACATGATGACCGTTTCCGGTTCTGGAACCAGAAGACTATACAAAACTGACCAATTTTGCATTCAAGATACCATGTTTGGTGGAGTTGCAAATGGTTTTCTTAGTGTCGAAGCCCCCTTCAAAACTCATAGAATTATTTCCTTCTCTGCCAAAGTCAGAGAAGAGAATCTTGAAGATACCTTGCTCAATCAGGAGATAACCAATCAATTGGTACGAGACAGATTTGATATCTTTGGTGAGAAAGATGAAGACAAAGCAGATTCAAAAGAAGAACTGCAAATCTATCTTGAAAAACTGAAGCTAAGTGAAACAGGTAGTCATAGCTCCTTTACCCAAAACAGCAAGATTCCCTCAAGACTGCTGTAAGAACCTAATCACAGGAGAAATCCGAATCAAGTCTGTTTTCAACCTCTTAAGAAAGGGAGGACTGCTGGCCTAAGCTCACAAAGAACAAATAAGCGATTGGGAAAAGGACGGAGTCATTACCCCCACCTCTCTTGAGGAACTTGATGAAAGGGGGACTCCATACACCAAACTTCCTCATCATGGAGTTGCTAGACCAGAGAGTAAAACAACCCCTGTTAGGGTTGTCATAGCAGGTAATGCTGCCGACAAGGGAAAGACTTCCAACGATTTCCTTGACCAAGGACCTAACATCCTACCTGTCATACCTGACATCATAAATAAAATAAGATGTTCAAAATACTTTGGAGTGGCCGACATAAAAAAGGCCTTTCTCCAAGTTCAACCAGCTGAAGAAGACCAGTGGCTCTTAATCATTAGAATGCCTGAACTGCAGGAAGATGGCTCTATTAAAACTCCTTTCTTCAGGTTTTTAAGGCTCCCTTGGGGCATAAGCTGCGCCCCTTTTGTGCTAAATGCCAGCATAAGATTTCTCTATAGAAAAGCTCACCAAGAAGGCATTCTCACTGAAATTGAGCTCCAGGAACTCAAAGAAAATACCTGTGTAGATGATGTGGTTGTCTTTGGCCAAACCTTTGAAGAAGTCAAAACTAAATTGGACAAGGTCACAAATATCCTCAAAAGTGGAGGCTTTATATTGGATAAATTCAGAGCCCACCCTGAAAAGGTCAAAGATATGTCAACTCAGAAAGCCTACAAACTCTTGGGACTGTCCTATTGTCCTGAGACAGATACCTTCTCATCTTGTGCTGACAAAGCTACTGAATTTGTTAATCTCAAGAGAATCACTAAAAGACAAATAGCAGGAATCATTGCTTGAATATATGACTTGATGGGATGGGAAACTCCCTTTGTTACCTTAGCTAAACTACTATTTCAGACCTTTAATGATCAACATCCCAAAGCTGCCTGGGATTCTAAACTATCTTTGGCTGAAACACAAAAATGGAAGGCCGTAGCTGAGTCAGCAGCTAAACTAAATCAAATTAGAATTGAAAGACATCCTCCAATGGATCCTACTCTGAAAAGAGAACTGCATGTGTTCACTGATGCCAGTGGTTTAGCTCTCAGTGCAGCAATTTATTTAGTCTGTGGAGATCAAGTCACCCTCATTAGGGGAAAATCCAAACTGATCCCTTCCAAGGAAAGGGAAACCTGTGAAGGAGAATCATATGAGAAGTTTCGAGTGAACAGACTTGAACTATCAGCGGCCTGCTTGGGACTGAGACTTGTTCTGGAAACTATGAAGTCCATGGACATCAAAATGAACTGTGTCCATTTTTGGACTGACTCAGAAGTAGTTTTAAGATGGATCAAATCAGGAAAAATCTGATCCGTACCATACATTAGAACTAGAATTGAAACTATCCTGGGGGATCCCTCTCCTCCAGATGGAGGCATACTCCAGGTGTTGACAATCCAGCTGATTTAACCTCTAGAGGGGTCAAACTTGAAGACCTAACACCTGATTCAATATGGTGGAAAGGACCTAAATGGTTACCTCACCCATCAGAATGGCCAAAACAAACCATCGAGATAGGAATTTCTGCACCTAGAGTCAAACCAGTAGTTTCTGCCAAGATTGAGCTTACACTTGAAAAGGTTTACACAGGAATCTCAGATGATTGGAGCAGAACCATCATCAGAACCACAACCTGGTTAAAGATTAAAGAGTTTTTCAGACATAGGGCACAAGTCCAGAAGGGAGTCTCTCTAGACAAATCAAAGGTTGGAAAGCCTTTCCATTCCAAATCTGATGGACTCTTCAAAAAGGGCACAGGGTTCCTGAACAACCTTGCTCCTCCTAAACTGTATGAAGGTATTGTTGAAACTTTCAGGGTGGTCCAAAGACTCAAATCCCCTGAGGAATGGCATACTCTAAAAATGGGAGAGATAGTAGAAAGAAAACCAGATTTGGTTTGGAATGAAAGACTGGGTCTGATTCTCTCAGTCAGCCGTCAAGCAAGAGACAAAACTTTCAAGTCTTACAAGGGAAACCTAGCAAGATCAGCTCTCATTTACCTACCATCTCCTAAGAAAAATGACCCCCTAAACTTTGTGGAAGCATTGATGAAAACTTTTCATGAATACTTAGGACATGCCTCTCCTAATGCTCTCCTAACCTTTATGGGGAAAACCTTTTGGATAAAAGGAGCCAGATGCCTGGCAAAAACCATAAGAAAAAATTGCACTTGGTGTAGGCATTTTGATGCCAAACCTTTTATGCCTCCTTGTGCCCCTCTTCCTGACTTTAGATACAATGGTATTATCCCATTTGCTGCTACTGGTATTGATTTTGTGGGACCCTTCAGAACACCCCATAGGGTCAATTTTCCATTTGTGTCTTTTCTTGTGCTATGACTAGAGCTATTCACTTAGAACCAGTAATGGATCTCACTCTAGAATCCTTTATTGACGTTTACGAAACGTTTTGTAACAAAAGAGATGTTCAGCCTTCCATGTTGATTTCAGACAATGCCGCCACCTTCAAAGCTGCATGGCCATTAATTTTACGAGCAAAACATATGCAAATCGAAAATAGACTTAGAGGTATCCAATGGCATTTCAACGCCTCTAGAGCTCCCTGGTGGGGAGGCTTCTATGAAAGAATGATGCACTTAATCAAAGATAGACTGGCAAGAGTATTCAAAGGACTGCCTTACAGAAGTCCTAATGCTTTAATGGTAGCTCTTTCCTATATTGAAAGGTTAATAAACTCTAGACCACTAACTTACATCTCTGATGACAGAAACGACCCTATGCCTGTAACACCCTCCATGTTTATCAATCCCTATCAGGCAGACCCATCTTTTAATCTTTTACTGTATGGGCCTCCCCCGTTCAGTTTCTAGAAGGATCCAAAATTGGTCTTGGCAACGCTGCCAAACACAGAATCAAACTTATGAAGAATATTTGGAACTTCTTTTATGAAACTTATTTGCAAGAGCTAAGACAATTCCCCACTCAATGGGGTCCAGAAACAAGCCTACAACCAGTTGTGGATCAGATTGTCTTCCTAAAGAAAAATTCTTTTAAAGAAAATGCTCCTCTCAATAGATTGAAATGGCGACTTGCCAGGATTGTCAGTCTTCATGAAAGTCCAAGGGATGGCAGAATTAGATCTGTGGATGTGGAAGCTACTAGAACCAAACCTGATGGGTCTTGTGTGAAATTCTTATTGAAAAATCAGTCAGTTCAAAACCTGGTGCCCCTAGAAGCAGACTCTGAGACAACAGAAAAGAAATTCCTAACCAGCGTTGGAAGCTTTGTGAGCAAAAAACCATGAAAACAAGCAATTGGAGTTCAAAAAACTTTTTATTCAACAAAATTGTGCAGAAGACATGATTACAAAACACAAAACCCTTCAACCAAAAGAGAGACCCTTCACAAAAAGAAGACCAATTCTGCCGAAAAAGAGTTTTTAAACATAACGAGAAAGAGATGCCATATCCGCAAACTCTAAACCTCCCTCTCCCAGAACCCAGGCCTTGTCCCCTACTTTCGATATTATGAATTTCCTCTGAGAGGAGTTTCCAATTCAAACTGATGATCCCACGATGAAACGTCCAGATACAGCTCTCTTGGGGTCCAAGCATAAGAAGTCTGCAGAGAAGACTTCCAGGAACATCTTCTGACTTAAGATCTTGTCCATCCTGAAAGGGAGAAAATAAAACATTGTAAATACCGGACTTAAAAGCATCAGTTTCTCGAAAGACTCACTGTCTGAAAGGGTCACCTCCTGACCCAATAACCGTGAGGTTGATGTGGAAAGGTCCATTTCCAAAACATCCCTCAACACCATGATCGGTAGAATGATGATGAGGAAGTCCAGGGGGAATCCCTGGAGCAGTTTTTCCACTATCCAACCAATATGGACAGCTGCCAGCACATGCGAATGCTCCCCAAGTCTTGTTCAAGCACTGGGTCCACTCAAACCCAAAGCAAATCTCTGCAGCATGAAGCTGGGCAATAAACAGATAGGCCCAAGTATGTATGTGGCCAAAAGACAACTTTGTACAATCTGACCTATCAAAAGCAGCAAGATGTCTAACCAGAGTTGGTACTGCCCACCATCCTTTCCCACCTGGAGCCCCTTGCCTCTTCCCAATTTTAGTTTTTAAACCATTATACAAGGCCATCTGAAAAGCATGACCGGCGCTTTCACGCCCTCTCTGACTTAAAATTGGAACCCCGTTGTTCCTAAGGGGAATTAAAGGAACCCCCTGCAAGTCTAGATCCATCTTTTCTGTCAAATATGTGTTACTTCCCTGTGCTAATGCAGGGGGAGCAGAAGCTCCCAAAGCCAGGACTGGCAAGTCAAAAGCATGAGAAAGTTCATTGAAATACCCATAGAGGGCCTGAAGAAAATGTCCAAAGTTGGGATAATGACGAATGACGTCAGGTTCAGTTAAATTCTTTAAATCGTTCATCCCCACTCTAACAAAAACGTGGGTAAAACAAAAGGAAGAACTCAAATGAAGATCCACGTACACTCTGTTACGCATTTCCTCAGGAGAAAGTACTTGTCCTTTGCCAACCAAGGCAGACCATCCACTTAACAAGTACTGAAAAGAAAATGAAAGAAAAATCATTCAAATCTTGTGTTTTAAAAAGAGGATTTGCAAAAAGAATGTTTTATTCCTCTACCTGATACAGTTCTATGCCCCTCCCAGCAAGAAGATGTTTGAAGTCAAAAACTGCACTGGTTGTGGCCTTCTCAGGCCGAATGTTATCGCAAAACATATTGCGCCCTTCAGACAGTCTCCAAGGAACAGTTGAGGAAGTACCAAGAAGCAAAACACAAGGGCCTTTTCCTGAGTTTTTCAATTTTGCCCCTTGATGACAATTTTGAGGCAAACCATATGTGTAGTCTTGTACCACGCAACCCAGAACCGGAAGAAAATGTTTTGAGTCCTTGTCCAACTTCTGTATATCCAAACCAAAGCGCTTGAAAACATTGCGCTTGTACCCAATTGGATCCTCTGGCTCAAACAGACTCCCTCTGAAGGGATGGTAGCAATGCCCTGAGCAAAAAAAAATTTGAGAAAAGGTTACTATAAAAACTTTCAAACCAAGATTATTTTAAAATTCTTACAAGGATTCAGCAAATCCAGAAGCTCCTCCTCCATGTCAAAACCGAAAGCTCCTTGTTTTACCTCTCTTTCTACCAAAGCAGATGTTACTTGAAGAGGCACAGAACTTTTTGTCTTTACTCTTTTTGACAAAGCATCTAATGCTTGAGAGTCTCCAACTACAGAGCTTATTTCATTTGTGCGAGGACGTTTTGCTGCAGCCAGGTTTTTGGGGGTCTTTAACTGCTTTAACAAATTAATGATTGATTGCTTGTCACAATGTTGAGTCGCTGCAAACTTTGCATCTTCCATCAAGTACTCTTGAATGGCCTCCACACTCCCCAAAAAGACCTTAGTCTCACCAATTGTCCACACTTGAAGATCCCCAGTTGTAAGTTCTAAGATGAAAGAGCAGTTGAAAGAAACAAATCAATATCTAGTACCAACCAATGTCAAAAGAAAAGTTAAATGTTCTTACTAAGCATACTGGAGGTAAAACCTATCCCCTCAGCCAGATAACCCTGGGGGATTCCACTAAGAGCACTTTGAAAAACGCCTGAATGACGTTCCATCTGGCGCCTCATGGAAGCCTCTACTTGAAGCATTTGGCTCTCCTCTCGTTCATGTAGTTCTGCCATGACTTCCCCACACTCTTCTAAATTCTCCCGCTTCTCGGAAATCTCTTTCTCCTCTAAAACGTATTTTTGCAAAATACGTTTTTGAGAAGAAATGTGCTCAGCATACTGTTCATGTTTCAGATTCATTTTGAAGACGGGCAAGCTCAGCCTTAAGACCATCCCTCCCTATTTGAGCATTTTTCTTGCTCTCCAGAAATGGAAGAAAGTCCCCAATGCGTTGAAGACTGGCCTCAGAAAGCGAAGAAAGTTTTTTGGCCAGGTCCACAGCAGACCTCGGCAAAGTAACCGTTAAAGGACCACCAGGAGAACTGTGTTCCAGGGGGACCTCTTGCAAGAGTTTGACGTCATCTTCAATTTCCCCCAACTCTGAAAAGTTTCAATTCAAAAGAAAAGAGTGAAATTTTTGTCCTCCTAATGCTCAACAGTTTTGTCTCCTTAAAACTTACTCATAGCCTCTCCTTCCTCATCTGAGTCCTCGATTAATATAGGAAGATCCGCTTCCATCTCCTTCCCCCCTTGAGCCTCACTATAAGACTAATTTGATTCCGCCACATCAAAGGGCTCATTAACTTTCTCCGAATCGGACATTCTCTTGATTGTCTTTTTGATTGTTTAACGAATCTAAAAATTCAATTGCAAAGTCTCCTCAAAGAAAGGGAATGATTGTCTCTGCCAAAGAAAAAGAAAATTTTTTTTCATCTTAAACAATGTCCTATCTCAATGAAAGATCAAAACCTCAGAGTCAAAATAAAACTGACGAACAAAAAGAAACTATCAAGATCCCAGTCAGAAATCAAAGGTCAGTCTTTGAACCTCTAATCTCTACCTGAGATTCCAACTGTCCCTTTCAACAAAACACCTTTTCAACACTTACAAAAGAACAAGTCAAAAACTACCAATTTTGGCAAAAAATCTAACTAAAAATTCACCAGCCGATCTACGGCATCAAGCATGACCGTCATGGAGGATATCCCTTTCTAAAAAACTAAGGATAACATCCCTTGATGACCAAGCAGATAACCAAATGAAAAAGCCAAAAAAGGATCCAATTGCCCCCCCCATATTGCCAAAGTTGGCTCAAAACATGATCAATGGGGGCACCACTTGATCCTAGCTAAACTCAAGTCCAATGCCCCATCAACTGAATTCAAAGGAAAGACACAACAAGAGGGAATACAAACACTCCTCATACTGCCAAAGTTGGCTTGGTACATGATCAATGGGGGCAGGACTTGATCTCAGTCAAACCCAAGTCCAATGCCCCATCAACCGTATTCAAAACCAAATCAGTAAAAGGGGTATTCACTGCCAAGTTTGGCACATTTCTCAAATTTCAAACAAAGGTACGAAAGCTTTTGCCGAAGCTTCAATACTAAAGATAGCCGCAGGGGAGGAGGTTACCCAAGAGAACCAAAACTAGGGTACCCGTGCCCGCAGCCCTCCTCAATATCGAATACAGTTATCAAAAAACCCCAAAGTTGGGGAAAACACTAACATTTCGGATCCTCAACCTGATCAAAAACCAAGATCCACTTTTCCTAAAAACAACCAAGCCAAAACTCCGACAATATATTCGGCAAAAAATTCACGAACGACGTGAAGTGGGACTCAGTTGAGAACAGCTCCAAGATCCCACCATACGACAAACATGTATTTCTCCGACAGAAAACTGCCAGAATTGGCACACTGACAAGAATAAATTCAAAACCTTTTTTACCACCTCTTGAGGTTCTTACATGACAGACGCGGCGGATACCCTCGACCAAAAAACACGAGGATATTTCCCTCGGCCACCAAGCAAGAAACACCAAATGTGGTTTGAAAAGGGAGTCAAAAAACCTCTGCTAATTCCGACAGTTCAGAAAAAGGCCGTCAGCAACTCAACTACTGATCGGAAGAAACCGATCAGTCCTAGACTCACGAAAGGATCAAAGAAGCTCAGATTGTCGAAGAGCTGAACACGGAGAAGCAACATCTAATCTTCTCAAACACTTAACATGAAACAATGACCAAAATTCTATAACGGAAACCTCTTCCTACAAAGACTAGCCAAAGGAAAACTTATCTCGACCAGAAGTACTTGGTCTCGAGAATTTAACCAAACATTTTCTCGTTGACTGTGGCACACTCAAAGTACCGAGTAACTCTCGCCAACTATGGCAAACTCCAAGCACCAAGACAAACCACCAAGAAACTAGTTGGGCAGGATTAGCTACCCTGCCCTCGGACTTGTGAAAAAACTTGAAAAATCTTCGAACCTAAAAACCACTCTCTTTTTTCAAGCACTTCAAACAGCAGAAGTTCAAGCCTTGTCCGGGAGCATCACCAAAATCAAGAACCTGACGGCAAAGTCAACGTCCGATTCCCAACACCAGGAGCTCCCTTACTTGGCAATCTTCATTCAAACACTGTGACTTTTCGCAAAAATTCGCAGCCTTTTTATTTTTGCTGCGTCTTGAATTAACCCCTTCCTGAAAAGAGGGTCATTCAAGGACACGGGGGGATTTTTGTGAGGAATTTTCTTGCGGTCCCACTGTGAGACAAGGCGCCAAATTGGAGCCGAAACTGTAATCCAATAGGCGCATCACCGGGATGCGCCGACAGAAACGAAAGTTAAACTGATTCCTACAAAAGGGGTGTCCTGAAATAAAACGTGAAACAAATTGGCAGAACAAAAGCCCTCGAGGCCAGAAAAGGAGAGGGATCCCCAGAAATGGGATAAAACAAATCGCCAAAAAAGTCGGCGCCTCCTTTTGACAGGGGGACATCGACTCCTCTGAAAAAATTGGGGTCATTCCACCCCTCAAGACTTTGCAAAAACACAAACCAGCTGTCAAGGAAGAGACAAAAAATCTTGTCTCCTATATTGTAAAACAATTTGTCTCCCAAATTCGGGACTTATCGAGCTGTCAAAAACTCGAGTTTAGAAATGCTCAACTGGCAACTTTATAGTTTTAACAGCTTTGCAAACTGTCAAGAACCTTGTTTTCCAGCAGAAAACTAATTTAACAAACGGTTGAAAGATTGTAAAAAGTCCACCTGGTTTTCGGGAAAAATACACATTTATGAAACCTCTGCGAAAACAGCAGAAGTTACCACCTGGTGTTTTCAAATCTGCCCAACAAGGAAGACCTGCCAAAATTGGTGCAAAATTCGTATATAAACCCCAGAAAATTGGGTAACACACACAGTCAAGTTTAGAAGGTTGAACTGCTGAAGTTGTGTTCTTAAAACTGAAATTTGGTACTCAGAAAATTCTCCGCTGTCAGGGTGATTTCGAAACATCGTGAAATCAAAAGCTTTGGTACTTTGCTTCTCCCTCGGTTTCAACCCACTTTTGTTGAGAACAGAACTCGTCTGTCTTAATTTATCTCTTTAAAAAACCGCGTACAAATACCTTATCAGATCGGGAACTTGAATTGGTTACAAAACTATAATCGTAAAGGAACTCAAGTCCACTTCTGGACCACTTGAAATCCTATGACTTGAATTGTGTTGATTGCTGTGATTCTTGTGTGTTTGAGTGTGTATACCTTATTTTCTTTATGAACTGTGTGTAATTAACTTTGTGTGTGTGTGTGTGTGTATCAAAGAAAGTTCTGCACTAGTAGGGAGAAATCCCGGTCGGCTTGCGCCCGGCCAATTGCAGTGTTATGATTTATTTAGCTACTATCTGAAATCCTTGAATTTGGAAAACTCTGCTGAAAACTGCAATCAAGGTGTAAGGCTTGATTAATCTAAATTTCACTTGTAAATCCTTACATCTGAACCTTGCAGGAGCAACAGCTCACGTGGGGAAACCTCTTGCAGAGGGTAGTCAAGCTGGTGTAGCAACTATTTGTTACAGCCTATTTGCAAATGCAACTTTTTGTTATGGGCAATTTGTTACGGGTGGCCTTTTCTTATGAAAAATGTTTGCTACTGGCACTACTTTGTAACAATCATATACGTTACAGTAGTATTTTGTTACATCGCTCTTTTGTTACAGGCTGGTTTTGTATCATTACAATTTTGTTACAGAAACACTTTTTTGTTACAACAAACAGTGCAATGAAATAGTATTTTTCAAACACTATTTGAAAAACAAGTGAACTTGTTTTTCAAAGTTGTGCTTCTGTTCATTATTACAGGTGTAGCTGAGAAATACTTGAAGGCTGGGAGTCTTGAACTGCAATTTCAATTTATTTCAATTTTGGCTCTGGCTTTTGTACCAGTGGAAAAAGATCCAGAAGTTTTCACCAAGTTACAAGATGCTGCTTTAGAGGATTTAAATGGAGTTCTGGATCATCTGGCAAAGTATTACATCAGACTACAAGAAAGGTGCTCAACAAATTCTTTCAAAATCCCCCCTCTCAGCTTACTGGAACCTTTGAGAGCACACATTTTGTGGACTTCTGCGTACTAACAACAGTGTTGAGGGGTGGAACCAAAGGTTCAAGACAAGCATGGGGAAAAATCATCCTTCCATATGTAAATTCATGAGCACAGTACAGAAAGAGGAATTATATGCCAAAAGCCAGCGGATACTTATCCAAGAAGGAGGAATCATTACACAGAAGTCAAAGATACTCATAAAAATGGATCAATGGCTTTTGACATTGCTGCCTAGATTTCAGGAAGCCTGTGAAGAAGACCTAGAGGAAGAGGATGAGATTGTGAATCCATGGGCTAGAGGGATTTTGCAATGGCCATCCTCAATTGGAGGAGCAACGTATCAAATTTTAGGTTGATGCTTCTCTTAACCTTAATACTTCTCTTAATCCTAATACTTCTCTTAACCTCACTTGGTGCATCAGAATATACAAATTTTTGTTACAAAATGAGTTGGTAACATTTTCTTGCCTGAATCGAATAGTACACCAAACAAAATGTACCTGTAACAAAGAAAACGTGTAACAAAAATGAAACGTAACAAGAAATCTTCATAACAAAAAGTGCTGTAACAAAAAGTTGGTAACAAAACCTTTGGTAACAAGTGTGTCCTTGTAACAAAAGGCACACCTACAAAAAGCCTGTAACAAAAGGTTGGTAATCCAGTCAGGCCACCCTAGACTGAACTACAAATGAGTACCAGTAGGCCAATTTACCTTTTGTGACACATTACCTACCAGGCTACCAGTGTTGATTGTCAATATATAATTATCTATATTGACAGAAATATCATACAAAAATTATGATGAGTGAATCATTTTCTGAAAGTCACCAAATAATTGAAGACAAGTCCTGAATTGCTGAATCACCCATACCAGAAGGCAAGCAAAAAAAATACTAATGAAAAGTGTATCTATTGGGTACATATGCAATAGCAGAACTAATCCACTGTGAATTGTTGATGAACCCTCAGAGATAATGCAGCTTACTCATCAAGAACATGAGGATTAAATTTCTGATGTGGAAATGCGGGACGGCAATGATACATTAGGTTGATTCTTGCTGGCATTACAAGGATTGAAAACCAATTTGCGTCCTTGGAGACATTGCCCAAAACAGTGGTTGAAAAAATTGATAAAAATGCAATGTCTCAGTGTACCTGCGATGAAATTGTGGCTGAGTTTTCTAAGATCCTTCGACCAGTTGGAAATACAGTGGTTGGCAAAGTGCCAAGGATCAATCACCCCTTGTGGAATAGGTTGACCAAACCAGCAAGGGTGACAGTATGCTGCAAAAATTCAAACTATCCTAATGTGTGTAAGCAATGGACTTATCAAAGTGTTTATTGATGAGAGCTTCAATGAGACCCTTTGAGGTACTATGGGAAGTACCCTAGAAGCCCTTGCCAATGCATATATGATGCTGCAAGAGGACAGAGAGAAAAATGTGCAAAATCACACAAATGAAAACATGCATGCTGTGTTTCAAAATAATTGGATCCCAACCCAATGTTTTGGTAAGAGTTGGGTATACCTATCTGATGGTGAATTGGTGAAAGAAATTGAACAATTAATGAAAGCAGATCAGGCACTGATGCCACAGTTTCAAGAAACTCGGAATTGGAGAAGAAAATCTCCACTTGTTTGAGGAGGGCATCAGCCATTTCAACCTTGATCATAACAGAAACTGCAGGGACAGCTTTGTTTCCAGCCTTTTTTGGGGGTAGGCATCCCCAACAAATGCTGCCGTCAGAAAGACAATCAACCCCTGAACCACTACGGGGGTAAATCAAAATTGCATACCAGGAGAAATTGAAGATTAGTAAAATTCCAGATCATATTGTGGGTGGAAGATGTTGTCTTAACCAGCTTAAATTTTAAAGCAGAGTTGTTGATCAGACAATTACTGCCAATAAAAACTGTTGACTGTTGGTATCGAAGATTTGACTGTTTTCCACGTGCTTTTGAAGAATCAAAATTAGACTTCGACAAACTTTACAAGTGCGTCTTTTATTTCCATTTCACACAGTGTAGAAACATATGAGCATGCGGCGTCGAGGATCTCGCGTCAAACGTTCTGAGAGAGTAAACTTAACATAGTATTGCGGACACTTGTATATATAGACAAACCCGTTTTGAGGTCAGCGCCAAGCCTAGCAACCGATTCGGATCGGTGTCGACATACTTGGTTGCGCAGCAACCAAGGTGAAAGGTGCGTAGCGCAAGAAGGCTTTAATATATGCATTAGCATATATATATATAATACACGGGCGTGCATGGAATCTTAACGATGCGGAACAAACGTGAAGCATGCAAGGGAACCTCAGAAAGTGCTGTATATTGCGGTCCTGACATTTATTGGACCACACTGACCTGACCTAACTTTACCTAACTGCCTCCCAAAATCAGTTTCAGCAGCATGCAGAAAAATAAAATTCACAGTTTCTGGTAGGTGCACGGAAAGTAGGTACTGAGATAATAGGAAAGTACCAAAATGGTATTCCAGCAGTAACCTGCATTTGAAATATTCCAAAAATCAGAAAATATTATCAGAACTCTAGCTTTTTTGCCATAAAATGAGACCCCAAAATATGGACACCCCAATATATGGACAATTTGACTCAGGGACACTTAGAAAGGAAAAAAATGTGGACAATGACTCAAAGGATGGAAACTTTTCAAAGATTTATTGAAGAGTTTAAATGTTTTTATACATTTTAGCATTTATTGTAGAAATTGAACTATTTACATTTAAAAATGCTCAAGATCAATCTCAATATAAAATTACTTTGATTCTCATTATAAAAAAAGCTGATTTTGTGCTTCTCTTTTCAGTTTTTACCATCACATGTGCTCACTCTGCTTTGCTTAGTATAGTAAAACTTGCCCCTGTTCTTTCCTTCTTGATCTCCTTCTGATGCCAAAGGATCAGATTCTGTGGGTTTTGCTCCTGAACATTTATTTCTCTGTATCATGTTGTTGAGAAAAATTATTTAATTCAATTTTATCAATTATGCATCTGCAGGAGAACCAATTAAAAATATTCCCATCAAAGTCTATGCAAAAGCAAGATCCAAAATGCAGACATTCTAAATTAAGGACAAGGTCCATGCCCCAATTATGCCTGTATCTTGTGGTCCCACTTTATACTCATTTCCCAGTTAGATAAGGAAGGAAAATGATCCCATGTGTTTACATTTTTTAGATTCCAGAGATATGGACTGAGTCCAAATGAACTGGAAGTCTACCTGCATCCAGTGGAAGAAGATGAGAGGATATTTGGATTTGATCCCAACTATAGAAACAGAGACATTAGGCTATGGTTGGACAGTGAGGACACCATGGGGAAATGGAAAGCAGCTGACATCTTGTACTCCTTCCCTGAGCAATACAAGGTTGAACTGGACAATCATCTTCAATTGAATGTCAGTTTTAAATGAATTGCTTCTGATTTACTCCAGATATTATTTGAAGCCACACCAAAGACAGACGAAAGAAGGTTCTACAGAGGCTATTTTGCCCTGGATAACATTGAATTCCTGGCTGCAAGTGATTGTCAGGGACACTGCAATTTTGATGGCAGCTTCTGTTCATGGTCAAATTCCAGAGATGACAACTTTGATTGGTCGTTGGTTAGTTTCATCTCTCTTCTGTTATCACAAGTGATGTTGTGATCCCTATTTGTTTTCATCTACAGGGAAGAGGAAGTGACAATGACCAGACTGGGCCTAAAAGGGACAGAACAAGCACAGCATTTGGAGGCAAAAATGGTGGCTATGCATTCATAGACACCTCTTACCCAAGGAGGCCAGGAGATTTAGCTGTACTTGAAAGTGCTGGGTTCTCTAAAACCTGTAAGATTTTTTTGAAGAACTTTGTTAATTTTCTATTGAATTTGTGAAAATACACAATCTATGTGCAATATAAAGATCATCATCAATAAAAATAGTTTAGTTCTAATCATTGCTCATTTTTGTGAAGTCTGATAAAATAAAAACCTGGGGATAAATGTTTGCCATTTGTCAATGCAGCTGAAAATGAACCACATTGCATGACCTTCTACACTCATATGCTGGGCAGTGGAATTGGAGCCTTGAATGTCTTTATCAGACCAAGTGGACAAGAGAAAAGGTTGATCTGGAAGGCTGAGGGACCAGAAGGAAATACTTGGTACAAGGCTCAGGCCCCAATAGCCTCATCTGTTGATTTCCAAGTATGTACTACTGCTACTCTGACAAAAATGGTCATAAACCCTGATTTTGGAATACTGTATACAAAACTTGTTTTCCAGATTCTCATGGAAGCGTCTGTTGGGAAGAACAACCTTGGATTCATTGCTGTGGATGACATCTCCTTCACTAAAAATTCTTGCCCAAGTTAGTTTCTTTGCAATATAGTTCTGATACTTTTTACAAGTAAACAATTGCTGAAGTTGAGTAATTTGGTCAATTTTCCAGCATACCCCCAAATTGCTGCACCAACTGGGGGTGTAACGTCGAAACTTAGTCTGTGAACACGGACCTCTCTGATACCGTCTTCACGGTTTTACGCGACCTCCTCTGATTTCCGGTCTCTCCCGTTTCGAGGTGGTCTCCTGGTGTGGTGACCGTGGTCTCTGGGTGACTCAATATTTTTCTCCACTAAATTATAAAAATATTCACATACATTACAATACAGTACCTGCTTTGAACAAAGGTACAATCTTCAGGGTTTCCTTTCAGATTTTAAAACAAATAAAAAAATAAAATGGTTGGTTCTGCCCTCTGCTATAAAAATAAAGTCTGTGCTGATTTGGCCCAATATGATGGAACAGTGAACCAAAAGGTCTGTTATCTAAAATTGTTTCAACAAGTGAAATTTTTACTTCAACCACTGAAAATGAAATTTACTTTGATGATAATTATAAATGTATCCTACACAATCTGAGTACCTTGAAGGTTCTCAAAGATTTTAATCATTTTCTGCTTATAACAAACAATACATTTGCAGCTTGCCATCAACAGAAAAAATGACTCACAACATAAAATGCATGGGTTCCAAACTTTAAGATACAGTGCATGGTGCTTTACAATTTTACATGATGCAGTTTGTGCACACATTGAAGTTCAAATTTATAAATATTTCAACCATGCACCAAAACAAAAACTTCAAGCAATAAGCAGCATAGAATCAGTTTCATGAATTGACTGAATGATGTGGGGCACAGCTGTATATTATTCAATATCGAGTTTTTCTTTAATAAAAGTCCTAAAATGTACTGTAACGGAGATCTTCCCGACTAGTGAGGACCTCTTTACCGGACCAATCACAACTCCCTGAGACTTTCTTAGTAAAGGTCCTTACCTCGGTCAACGAACTGAAAGACCAATTTCATGAGGGAGAGCTTCATTGACCCCAGAGATGGCCCCAGTTTGGGTGCCCTTCAGGTATAAAAGCTGCATCAAATTGCCAAAAACATAACAATTCTCAACCTTGAGCTCTTCTTCAGGTCTTGCTGAAAAAGTTTGGTGATAGCAATTCTCCTGATGAAGTAAGGTCCATTTGGAAATTGACCAACCATCAAGGACAGGACTGGATGTATGCACAGGTCCCCATTCAACAGGGATCTAAGTTGGATGAATTCCAGGTAGAGCATTTTTGTAATGCCCATTAAAATGTATTATGCTGGATTGAAATATTGTTAAAAGAATAAAGTCGACTAGTAACTTCCTTACACCCCTAGTTCGTCCGGACTACGACCGAAGTAACGATAACTACTACAGTAGAAGATACTGAGGTTTACACTTCCACACACATTAACTTGTTACTGACTTGATGCAGCATTTGATTCATATATTGAATTGAAATGCATGTTGGAAAAAACTTTGGTATGCCAACAAGTTGGCGCCAGATTAAGTTAAATTACCCTTCAGCTACGTAAAAATCTCAAGAAAAATTAGCAGCTTCTGCTGGAGCCTGAGAACCAAACCCAAGTTTGGTTCCCAGGCCCAGCAAGGACATTTTCTGAATAGAATTCTGATCCGCGTCCTTCAATTCTTCCTTTCCTGATTTCCAAATTTTGGATGATTTTACCACTTGCATTTGAATTGTTGACCCAAGCAGATCTCTGTGCAGAGAAGCTTCATTTGCGCAACTCCAAAATCTTGACCAAGTGTTTTATCATCAAAAAATACAACTCTTAAAAACTAGGACTTTTGTCCCAGCCGCAGCCCGGCTGATTGATCAAGTTTTCTTATTCTAATCAATTAATTTCCTTATCCAAAGGGTTTTCAATTTATATCACTTTGTTTCAATCTATTCTTTTCCAATCAAGTCTTCCATTTTTCGCTCAATCCGTCTTGTGAGATACTTTTGTCATTTTGACATCTTTTTCTCACAATGCAAGCTTTAATTGCTGTTCGGCAGCATTCACAAAATTCAAAACAGTGTTCCCACAACCCACCTCCATTCAACACATTCCAGGAAATGCAAAAATAATTCAAAATTGAATTGAATTGAACAGCAACCTTTATTTTTTACTTTTCAGTGTTCAGAAAAAAATGAAATGCTTCAAGAATTTCTGTATTATCCTGAAATGATTTTTTTCCAATAAGAAAGTGCAGCAGGACTAATACCATTTTTCACTTTTTTTTTTCTTAGTTCTACCAAGCAAGGCCCAGGTGAATGCAGGGGACTGTTCTTTTGACCGGGATCTCTGCAACTACCGCAGAACAGAAGATGGTGACAGGTTAGGCAACTGGCAATTGGCCATTGCTGGGGAAAGGTTGTTGCGCAATATGGCTGACCATACTTATAATAACCCTGCTGGAGGCTATGCCTACTTTGACATATATGACACCAACCAGCGCAAAATCAGGCTCATCAGTCCTGTCATTGAGCCTCCAAGGGATGAAGATGACAGGGCTTGTCTGGCTTTCTGGTTCCACCCATTGGGTAGTGGAGACAGCACCACTTTGCAACTCATGCAAAGAATTGGGGACAGCAATGAAGTTGTGGAAAATGATGAAAAAATGACCCCAGTGAGTCTTTTTTTTACTTCTGCATCTTCAGGGAACTGATGTTTCTGAACAAAAATTAAATTTCCTCTATCTTTTCTCTTATGCATTGCATTCAGAGACATAATGTGAATATTCAAGTCTACTGACAAAGATGGCGCATTACTCATTCTGAT